CACCAAACAATCTAGACTGATGAATAGCACTACAGATAAAAGGAAAAAAAACATATCTTTATATGGGGGTGAACTGTCCTTTTAAGGTCTTCCAAGAGCATAGATTTGTTACTCTGTTATATCTTGAGTTTCTCACTTCAAGTGAACCAACATGTGTCTCTGTCTCCTCAGGTTCGCAAATGCCTTCTCTTACTACGGATTGGTGCTGCTCACTACAGAGCTGTTTCAGGAGGGAGGTGCATGTGGAAGTGAGTCACTGCTCCAACAGATGCCTTCACACACTCACAGACACGCACACGCATTTTTAGTTTGCTACACTGATAAGAGAGTGACTTTCCCCAAAGAAATAAACATGTGGCATTGCAGCTAAATGTAATCAGTCAGAGCCAGAGTTACACCTGCGCTTCTACTACACTGCCAAAAAGGATCTACACATTTATACAGTATGTTTCTTTGTAATCAGAATCACAGATCAAGGTCATACTGGGTGTGTATTATCCTGCTTTCTGTTGTTGTCTACTTCCCTCTAGTGTCCAAAGGTAGCAAGACGGAGCCCCGATGCAGCTTGGAGTGTAAATATCTGAACTCTGATGACTACAAAGACTTGCTATGGACCACCTTATCTGAATTTCCAGGTATGCATTTCTCTGACAATATATTTCTCTTTATAAAAATAATTATAGTTACCTATGGTGGCAAGTTATAAGTACTTTATATTTACCACCTTTACATTTACTAGGTGACAGTGTTAAAGTGGAGGATATATGCAGGTATATGGGGTATACCCCCCTTGTTTTCTGGCTGTTTATTGTATACCTACCTATCAGCTAAAAAGCCATCAGAATATAAAGGACAGTAAACCCACTTCCTTCTCTGTAGCCTACCCATCTACCTAATAGTGCAACCATCTCATCAATTCCCACTAAACGACTGCTAGATAATGTATGTGTTTATTATGTAAGTCGTTATTTACAATTAATCATTAGTTTAGTTTAGTTTAGTTTAATAAGTTTATTTGTATCAGGGGCAATGTACAAAATAACATTAGTCTCAGAATGAGAAGAGATGCTTTGTACCGGATTTAGCTTACTGGCTACTTCCCATCCGTAGTCCCTGGGCAGGTGAATTACTAATATGGACGTGGTTTTCAGTACTTACTTTCATTTTTGCCTAGCAGTTGCGGAACATTATTTCTTGGAATTAAAAAGGTCATCTTAAAAATGCTGAGTGCTTTGTAACTGTTACTACAGTAGTTCAGGTTTTTCAGGGATAGACCAGTGAAACAGAAAGATCACACCGATCAGCGAAAACATCCAAAACACACACCCCCGAACACCATTGCAGACAAAATACCAGCCCCCCCCCCATGGCAACAACACTTGTCGATGGGACTTGCCATGCCACATCAAAAAAAACTGCTCTACATGGTCTGCACTGGTGTTAAGAAGCGGGAGCGTGTCAGGTGGCAACCATGTGGATGTCAGAGCCCAAGGTCTCCCAATAGAGCACTGCACTGTAACAAGATGATCAATGTTGTTCACTTCACCCGCCAGTGGTTTTAATGTTTTGGCAGATTGGTGTACCTGTAGTAAATCATAATAATAATAATGTTAATTGAGCTTTATTACAGAGGACACTTTGGCAAGGTGTTAATAATGACATTTATGATGGCTGCATTCCATGTAGGTGGTGTCGTAGCTCACTGACGGCTAACTTAAATGAAATGGAGCCACAATCAATAGTATTAGTTACACCTCTGCTTTTCCTGTGGAGACATGTCAAAATGTGATTGTAAAAGCATAAATAAATCTGTATAATCACCGCAAACCAGCATGTTATATTTTACACACCTGAAACTTTGCCTTTTCCCAAAGGACTGCTGGTGACACTGTGGGCTATTGATCGACTGGGAAGGAGGAAGACCATGGCGTTGTGTTTCTTCGTCTTCTCTATGTGCATCATTCCTCTCTATGGCTGTGTCGGGAGGTAAGGTTGATACTGATGAGCATGTTACACATGAAACTGTGGATCCCCCAGTTATCCAGCATTAATGCTTTCTCTGTTGCAGAGCATTCATGACAGTGTTGATATTCATCGCCCGAGCATTCATCGCAGGGGGATTTCAGGCTGCTTATGTGTACACTCCAGAGGTAAGATATCAAACCAGAGTACTGTTTGTATAGCGTAAAATGCAAACAGCCATGAGTGGAGTTTAGATCAAATCAATAGTTGGGTAAAGGGAGCATCAAGACAGCCTACTCAGTGTTTTCTGAAACCCTGCAGGTGTACCCAACAGCGACCAGAGCTTTAGGTCTGGGAACAAGCAGTGGAATGGCCAGAGTTGGTGCCCTCATTACACCTTTTGTTGCACAGGTAACACCCCTCCATCAGTTATCTCATTTAATCTACTATGGAAGCCCATTGAAGTTAGTGTGATGAGAAAAGAAAAGATCCTGTTAGGTCATTTTAATGAGGAACCTAGAGAGATACCTATCAAGATACCATCAAAATAATGAGTTAGTATCTCTAAATAATGAGAAAACAACACTAGGTCAGACAATACTATCTCATTATTTTTAGATACTAATTCATTATTTTGACAAAGTCTTATCTTAAGAGAAGTTTCTTATTTTTAGATACTAAAAGAGTTTGTAATTTTGATGTACTAAATTATTATTTTGAGATATAACATCATTATTTTGAGAGAACTTAGCATTATTTTAACATACTAAGTTATTTGAATTAATAATTATTTTGAAAAGTATCTCATTAGGTCAACAAAGTGTCTCATTTAAGTTAAGTTTCTGATTTTTTGAGATGGTAAGTCATTATTTTGAGAAACTCTTAAATTTGTTGAGATTTTTTGAGATATTAAGTCATTATTTTGAGAAATTTTCTCATTTTTTAAGGTATTACGTTAATATATTGAGATTTTTTTTTTTTTTGAGAAAGTTTCTCAATTTTTTGAGGTATTAAGCCAATATTTTGACATATTAAATCATTTCTTTGAGATATTATGTCATTATTTTGAGAAAGTTTCTCTTTTTTTAGGTATTAAGTCAATATTTTGAGATATTAAATCATTTTTTTGAGATATTAAGCCAGTATTTTAAGAAAGTTTCTCAATTGTTTGAGGTATTAAGTCATTATTTTGAGAGTTTCTCAGTTTTTTGAGGTATTAAGTCTTTTTGTGATCTTAAATCTTTTTTTTTTTTTAGATTATTATCATTATTATGTAAACGTTTCTCATTTTGAGAATGTTTCTCATTAATTTTACATAATAAATCATTATTTTGAGATACAAAGTCATTATTTTGAGAAAGTTTCTCATTATAATGAATTTACAGGCTCTTGTCTTCGTCACACTGGCAGAAATGGGCTCTCATAAAACACAACAAAAGAAAGTTGCTCATTTTTGTTCATCCCTGGGCTTCACCCTTCAGGTGATGCTAGAGTCATCTGTGTACCTGGCTCTGTCCGTGTACTGCTGCTGCTGCCTCTTAGCTGCTATCGCTTCCTGTGCACTGCCAATTGAGACAACAGGCCGGGGCCTGCAGGAGTCCAGCAACCGCGAATGGGGCCAGGAGATGGTGGGCCGGGCCTCCTCCCTCAGCTCAGGGGGAATCCCCCCATCCAGCTCCGACTCCCAGGGCTGAGGACACGTCGGCTGGAGGACAACTGAGAGAGGTGACCACAGTGAAGAAAAAGACGCGAGCAGAGGCAGAATAAAAAAAGCTGGACCAGCTTTCTGTGCCCATCTCCAGTCCCATCCTATGACTCTTCAGTTTAGGCACCACGGTGGCTTCAGAGAGCCAGGCAGCACAATATTATATATTATATTATATAGTCCTCAACCACCATTGCTGTCACAATTTTGCCACTGAATAACTGCACACAGGGTGAATGGAAAGACCAAATGACCTACGTGAGTGAAAGATTGAGAAAACAAATGGTGGACATCGTGTGAAACATTCTTTGACAAGTGAGAATTCAAATACTTCAAGCAAAGTGTCTGAATCCTGCTTTTCTTATGCAAGTGAAGCAAAGAAGAATAAAGAGGGTAAAGCTTTGAATGACCATCTTCGTTTCAAAGAGCCTTAAAACTACCTATTCTATTTGTGTTTGAGAGTCTGTTAGCGTACAGGAAATAGGTGCGTAGGTAAAAAAAAAAAAAGCATCGTCTTGTGCACATGAATTGTCTGTTTGAATACACAAGCTTCATAAAAAGTGCATTGCAGGAGCGAGGAACAGTTCCACATCATCCAATCAACAGACTATCAGTTTAAATAAGATCTGGGGTTACTTCATTTAACGTTCACTTCTGTAAAGGCAGTGAAAGGACATACTGCACAGTATCCACTGTGTTAAACATGTTATTTTTTCTTGTGTCAGTGTTATTTCATATTTCAACATGGATGGTATTTGTTTTCTGCTAAAGAAACAAGGATTATTGTGTGGGCATTTCTTTTACAACCTGACAAACCTGCTGACGCCTTCATCAGAGCATAATAACAACAGCGACATCATACAGTCGACAATATTTCATAAGTATAGCACAACTGAACGACTCCAGAGATCCTTTGCTGCATCTGAAGACAACATTATGTAAGTTAACGCTGATTAGGAAATCTAAATCTGAGTATTTTCATCACCCAAAGCTGACACATATACACGACCATTTAGCAGGATGTTACATTCTGTCTCTCTGTAAATAGTGTATCAATACCTGGTTTAGTTGTTGTCTTTGCTTTCGTTTGTAATAAAGGTGACGTGAAGACGGACTCTGACAAGTCTGAGTGACACACTGAGCAAAGTTTTGTTAAAAAAAAGAAAAAATGAAAGAGGTTAATAAGGTCCAGTGAGCCGACTCTATACCTGCCAGTGTTTGAGATATAGTGCTGCATTAAGTGTCTGTGTGCACAGATTCTTGTCAATGCACTGGATGTAAATGTGTATGATACTGTAGTAAATAATCTTTCAAAAAGAGCAGTGGATTCATGTTGTTATTTAATACTGTACTTTTTATTAAACAGTGATTTTATCAGATATAATCATTATCACTAAGTTTACTGAGGACATTTTCAAGAGATACATAATTTATATACTTTAGAAACATTTTACTTTTATTTGATAGTCCACCCACAGATAGACAGGAGTGTATAGTGGAGGTTTCAACATACCACAGTTCCTAGGCCACTTACTTTCAATCAATCAATCTTATTTATAAAGCCCATTATCACAAATCACAATTTGCCGCACAGGGCTTTACAGCATACGATATCCCTCTGTCCTTTGGACCCTCACAGTGGATAAGGAAAAACTCCCCCCAAAAAAACCCTTAACGGGGAATAATTGTAGAGACCTCAGAGCAACTGAGGAGGGATCCCTCTTCCAGGACAGACAGACGTGCAATAGATGTCGTACAGAACAGATCAACATGATAAATTAACAGTAATCCATAAGACAAAATGAGACATAATGATTCTGTGAGATGTCTCGGTTTTGACTCTTGTTTCTGTTCCTTTTCTGGAGATCCACAGAACTCACATGAGGCGGGGAAAAAGTTTTACAAGGTTTATCGAGAATACAAAAAGAAAGAAACAAACGACAGGCCAAGTCCTTCCAAAATTACTGGCATGATGTCCTATTTCTATATACTCTCACATATTACCCATTATTATACTTCAACACTGCCTGGTCAAAAACGTGTTACGATCCAATCCAACACAAACTCAGTGTTGTCTGTTACGCACAACATTGTCCACAATCTCCTCTACTCATGTGCACTAAACTGCCTTACAGCACTATACCTGGCGTAAATGACATGCCTGTATTCTAACATAAATCAAGTAAATATAATATAATAAATAATATAATAATATTAATATGTGTTTAAGTGGCTCAACAAGTCAACTGTTGGCTTTATCTCTGGATTTTTATCTGTAGTGTATATGTGATAATTATGTTTCTGTGTTGCATAGGTTGAGTGAATAGTTTAAGTTAACAAAATTATTCAGAGAATATGTAACAAATTGTCACATATACTCTATAGAAATTGTGTTTAACATGTACAGAATAAAACAAAACTGTTAAACTGTTGACTCTCAACTAAAAAGGTGTTAAAATGTCACAAGTACTCCATAAACCAGGCATGTTCAAAGTCCAGCCAGGGGGTCAGTTGTGGCCCACGGCCCGATTTTTAAGGGCTGCAGCCAACGGCAGTACTATCATACAGTTTGTGAACATGCACCAAGTAGGAACTACGCAGGCATAACTAATTTGTTCATAAACAGGCAGTAAACAAGCTGACAAACAGTTACCTAACAGCACATACTTTCTGCTAGGTAGCAGACATAAGTCGACAACAAGGGCCACCGCTCTCAAGAATGATGGAAAGTTGACTATTTTTTTTCAGTGAAACAGTTTGTCTCATTTGTATTTGTTTGCAGCTGGCCCTGTTCTGTGAGCGATCTGTAGGTGGACGATCCAGATTCAAGTATGATTTTGTTACATGTGAATGAGCCATCTGTTCATTAATAATCGACAAGGACAACAATAGGAATGTCTCCTCTTTCAGCTTACCTCTAAGTTACAACCATTACATGACTGTGATTATAAGCGATGTGATTTCCCCAAAAATATATGATACTGAATATATGTTGGCTTTAAATGTTACTTAAAGACAAAAAACAGTTTGTGTGGTACAAGATACAAGGCACTGACATTGAAATTAGAAAAAGGAGTGCATCAATCAGTACTGACAGACACAAATTTACAAGCGAGCTTTTGGACCTTTGCCTTTTTGTTCCACGATCTGACCAAAGAGCCTTGCTGCCTCCTGGGCGCAGCCTCGGTGAATGGTTAATCCGAAACCTCCATGACCGTAGTTGTGTATTACCTGATTGAAAGACATGGTATATTAGAGGGTGGATGACCAAATTTCCTTTTTAAAGTGTTGCTGAGCTGTTAAAGTTTACCTCTATTTTAGTTGCACCAGATTGTATGGTCTCTCTCTCCAGGCGGACTTTGCTGCGAACAGGCCTGAGGCCGCTCCAGTCCTCTACTATCCTGGCATGCTGAGGTTAGAGAGCAACAGGGCTTAATACTTATCAAGTCTGTCATAGAAATACTGTGTCAAACAAAGTTCTAAAAAGCTAGATAATTACTGCTTTGCGATGTATTTGTTTAGGGTAGGGCAGGCACGATATCAGATTTTCACTGCACCATTATAAAGAAATTCACGATAAAAATATTACGTCGCAATTTCCATAGAAAATGTTAAAGTGTGTGTGTGTGTGTGTGTGTGTGTGTGGCATAGACTGTATATAAAGCTAGATGACATGACAGCTCCCCAAAACTGAAGTCAAAACATCTCCATTGCCCCCTGGTGGCTGGCTGCAGTACAGGTTATAGACTCTGCCCCCTCCATGTTTACAGATGGGACATGGACCACACTAAAAACTCAAAGTACACGTACTTTGGATAGTTTATGCCATTTTAGGTAGTTACGCACTTATGGGCAGGAATGTGTGTGGTGGGAGGGGGATGACAAAGCAAGAACAGAGAGAAATGGAAATTATTTAAAAGGCACCGGATTACCACAGTTATCATCGTACCGATATATTGCAACACTTCAGATTTGGGTATTTTGCAACCAAATTGTTTTATTGTCACTAACATGTTTGAGCACTGAATTACAGAATTCTAAATATAGTTTGCAAATGCTAAATACTTTAGCGCTACAGGAGACTCATTGTAAATAATTAATCACAGTTGACACAGAAGGCATTTTTAAGGGCTCTCAGACAAACATTTTGATATCATCTCACCTTGAGACTTGGCTCGAGCTGGCATGCACGATCCCAGATGTGCTTATGGTCGGTGGAGTTGTTCTGTTCACTCCAGTTTCCTATCTGGAAAATCCCACCAACTGTCACGAGACGGCTCCTGCAGACACAGAAAAAGAACGTTTGCTTTCTGTCTACATAAAAAACACAGTAATCTGAAATTACAAATGCTCTGACAGAAAACAACACCATGACAAGAGAACAACACAGTGTAACCACGGCAACTTTGGCTGGCAACATGTATAATATGTATGTATGATACTTTAAATCCACAGTGCTCCTCTCCACCACTACAAACTTTACAGGAGAAGTCTGCGTTCCTGAGTGTTTTGCGTCACTAGAACTACCCTGGAATGATGTACGGTGAACTGTAGACTCCTTCTATAAAATTGTGGGCAAGAATCCAATGCTTCAGCCACGGAGCCTCCACCTAGAAAACAAAGGAGTAACAAGGTTTGATCACCATTTCCATTATGCATTTATAGATGGTTATATAAACAATCAACAGACATTTGATGGTGTTTGTGCTCACCTTCACGATCTGACCCCGGCCTGGTTTGAGGTCAGGGTCCGGCTGGAGCGCCCCTGATCTAATTCCAGTGCAGTTTATTATCACGTCTGCCCCTGTTTCTGCCAGCTAAATGAAAGGGAAGCGTGATAAGAGATAATAAATATGACAAGTGATAACGTTTTGTGAGTCTTGAGAAAGGTTACAGACTCTGTATAAAATGCATTCAGAAACTAAAAAATAAAACATACCAGTATAGAATAAAAATATATAAGCAGGCATAATACTGAAAAACTTTCACTAACCTCCTTGAAGGACTCTATTTTCCTGTGATGAAATTTCACACCCCTTTTTTGCAACCTGAGAATAACAAAAAAACAGATGTATATTACAAAGACCAGTAAACGACTCCTGAAGAATCAGCTTTTTAACTTTTATTAAACTTAAACTACTTAACAAACTGAACCAGTTATCCTGAAAAACATATGAGGATATCTGGTAGACTGTGTCAGAAATGACTCACTCATTTACTGATTGTAACACAGCTTATAGGGAATTGTGTGGTGATAACAATGTAGTGTGTCAGATGGAAACATTTAAAAAACATTTCAGACACCTATCAGGTCATTCCCATTGTGCTGCTGTCTAAATTTGCCTTTTTCCCGGCTTGTGCAATCAGCTCAGTGACCAGAATAAAATGTTGGCTTTGTACATTTCTGCAAATCACACTACGGCATCTGTACGTTTCATACGTATGACGTAGTTCAGATTATATGTATATGAGCTAAGTTTCTCATCATGAGTAGAAGGCAATGGCAGATGACGTGACATCAGACAGCAGCAGACCACAATTGCAAACCAAGAAAACCAGGTACTTGGAGAGTCTGGGACATTTCCAGCAGTGTTTGTAGCAAGCAAATTGGGTATTTTAAGTCAAAACATGATCTTTTCCTAACACCAAAGTGTTTTCTTGTAAAATAAAATGAAAAGAAATGTAAAGTTTCAACATATCTGCTTCATATGAAATATACAAATGTAATATATTTGTGGTTTACAGAAATGCAGAATGCCAACATTCATTCTGGTGACTGGGTGGGCACAATACATGTTAGTACTTAGCTCCCAGTTATCACTGAGTGTGCACGTCTTTCTACTTTGTACTGTGGTGTGACTTAAGTTAATATGTAGGGTATAGACGACAGAACAAAATGGTAGCCACAATATGCAGTAAGTGGTTAACAGTTCTAGAGAGACAGACTAACTACACTGAGACCATGAGTTGAATTTTTAAGATAAGGTAAAACTTAATTGACCCCAGAGGGGAAAGTAGAGCCTGAAATGTTTATGACAAGCTATCAGGTGCTGCCAACAAGTTTTTATTGTGTGATAAATTATGTTGCAAAACAGGTGCCGCGCCTATTATGTCACAGAGTTCAACTCAGGATTTGTAAAGTTCTGTTAAAAGAAAACACTGATGCAACATGGGAAGTCACTGGAGAGATAAGGTCATCATCACTCACCAATCCATCAGCCAAGGTAAGTATGTTTTACCTTCCACCATCAGAGATGTGTTGAACCACCCGTAACTGGACAGAGGAGAAGACACAGATGTGTGAGAGGGTGAGAGCCGGTGACACAGAATAATCCATTCAGTCATAAATATTTGTATCTTTTAGTGGGAAGCCTACAATATATTGTTTCGTAATAAAAACAGAAATACATGCAAAGGGACTGAGTTTCACATACAACACATTTAAAGGTCCAGTGTGTAGGATTAAGGGACATTTATTGGGAGAATGGTCCATCCATCCATCTTCTAACCGCTTCATCCTCTTGAGGGTTGCAGGGGGGCTGGAGCCTATCCCAGCTGACATCGGGCGAGAGGCAGGGTACACCCTGGACAGGTCGCCAGACTATCGCAGGGCTGACACATACAGAGACAGACAACCATTCACGCTCACATTCACACCTACGGTCAATTTAGAGTTATCAATTAACCTAGTCCCCAATCTGCATGTCTTTGGACTGTGGGAGGAAGCCGGAGTGCCCGGAGAGAACCCACACTGACACGGGGAGAACATGCAAACTCCGCACAGAAGGGCTCCCACACCCAGGATCGAACCGGGAACCCTCTTGCTGTGAGGCGACAGTGCTAACCACCACACCACCGTGCCTCCCTGGCAGAATGGTATATAATAATATTTATAGATATATCATATTCTGTGTGGAGTTTGCATGTTCTTGTCAGCATGGGTTTTCTGTGGGTACTCCGGCTTCCTCCTTCGGTCCAAAGACATGCAGGTTAATTGGTGACCCTAGATTGTCCATAGGTGTGAATGTGAGTGTGAATGGTTGTCTGTCTCTTTGTGTCAGCCCTGTGATAGTCTGGTGACCTGTCAAGGGTGTACCCTACCTCTCGCCCAATGTCAGCTGGGATAGGCTCCAGCCCCCCAGTGACCCCCAACAGGATAAACGGTTGCGGAAAATGAATGAATAATATTCAGAACTATGTTTGAATGGTTGTTTTTGTTACCTAAGAATGAGTAATTTACATCTACATACAGAGCAGGTCCACTCCCACGGAATCCACCATGTTGTTGTACAGTTGCCCAAAATGGACAAATCAAAACACTGGCTCTAGATATGGCCATTTGTGTTTTCATGTTTGCCACCATAGTTCTCCTACACGCTTGGCACACACAGAAGTTTCAGTTCTCCAAACTCACCGCTAGATGCCACTTAATCCTACACACTGGACCTTTAAGTTGCTTGAAGGAAACATGGAAAAGGATGGGATGATGCTTTTTATTAGGATAAAAAGGAGTGTAAGCGTTTGTTACCTGAAATGTTATAGCTGTGTAAAGTATTTTATGATTTATGTTTTTCTTTCAGCTTTGTATATGTGTTTTGGAAGATTGTTTGACATACAACAGTGTCTGGTAATCCCATGTGGGAAGGGTCTAATGTTTGGCACCACATAGGAATAGAAAACTACCTAACTATCACTAACTCTTCGCAACTCTCCTTTTTGTTCTTCCAGTGTTTTGCATTCATGGCAGTTTCAGCAGAAACCTACTTGTATCCGGGGAACATGCGCAGTTCTCGCTCTGTGAGCTGTCTGAAGCCCAGGACGATATCTTTAAATGAAGGATCCTGCAATCAAAAACAAGCCAAGATCACACTATTTCTGTCCTAAGCATGCTCTGGCTGTGTTAGTTTCCTGTCAAAAGAATCCCAATTAACCCCTGAGTCTGAGTTTGAACCCTTGGTGAGGCCCCTCTGTAATTGTTTTCCAACCACAGCAGGCCTCCATCTTTGTGTAGCTCTACTTTCACTCAGGCTGAATAATAATTACTTTTTATTGTAGATATTGCCCTGGTATGTGACACGATCATGAGTTATATATGGTTAAATTTTAACTGTGTTTATAATTGTGCAGTGCCTTTGTTCTTGGTAGTAAAACCTTCCGAAACAAGGTCGAATCTTATCTCTATAGCCAGACTGCCTGTGCGTTGGCCAAAAACAAAGGACTACTCACTGGGGCTGGTTTAGTGCAGAGGTTGTAGCCAGACTGGAGGAATATACCCATTTGTATGGCATCTGGTGAATCGAGGAAGCTCAGCAAGTAGTCAAATGTCTCTTTATTCCATTTTCTAAATGCAAAGACAAACAGAGCAATGAAAATTTTGTCCACTTTTTTGCAGATGAAGAGGAGAATCAAAGGACAGTTAATGCACTTACGTCTCCTGGACGTTGCCGTTGTCATAGAGGTATGGTTGCCAAAAGCCAGCAGCTCCATCACTAGTGGTCAGTGGAGTGAAACGGTCTGCATATACCTCAATGGTCAGTGGGCTGACGATGGAGTGATACTGCTGGTAGATGCTCTGAGCTGTTGACAGGCCAATGACTCCAGCTCCAATTATTGCCACCCGCATGTCTGTTGTTTTCTCCAACACTATTGGATATGATTGGTTAAAGGATTAGAAAATGATTTTTCTTTCACTCTTGACATATAATTGAACAGTGCATTAGTTATAGTAATAGTAGGAGTAGCAGCAGTAGTAGTATTTTTATAGATCTATTCAAAAGAAAAGGTTTACAAAGTCTTGATAACATAAATACTACCCACTATCCCTGTTGGACAGGGCCAGCTGCGCCCTACACTACATCAGAGTAAAACATTTGTATAGCTAATAATAGAAAAGCAGTTAATGTTACATTATACGGCGATCAACATGTTGGCACCTGTGTGATTAAACAGTGCAAAGTTTAGCAAAGCAGCATTCAGGAGCAAATCGCCGACGTGGAAAACTCCACACTTTAATATATAAATACTGCATAATAGAACAGATCGGATACAAGTATTGCACAGATGATCCACTCATAACGCACTCTGTATAGTTTCCAAAAAGTTCTGCTTTACCTTCAGGCTGCTTTTCGTCCACCACTGCACAAGTTGTTTATGGCTGTGTCAACTCACACAACCTCAGCTCACTCTGCAGTTGTCACATGGGCTGCGAGAGGCGGAGACAGCAACTGCTACACAAGACGCAATGTTTAATCATGTTTTCAAGCTCAGCTATGAAGTCCTAATGTATCAGCGCCCCCTCCTTTACGCTTCGTATTGGTTCACACGCAAAGTGTTGTCTGCGAGTTCTCATGTGCATGTAAGCAGGCCTACATAGCCTAATGAAGAAAGTTCTGGGTGGACTGTATACATTATAAGAATTATTATATTTTTCAAAATATTTTATGAAGGACATCAGGATATTTCACACATGCATGAATTTCTAAGGTTATTACACTGCTACTACAGGTTAAAAAATCTGTAATTATTGTAATAAACAACAACAACAATAATAATAACTACTACTTTTTATTATTACTATTATTATTATTATTATTATTATTATTATTATTATTATTATTATTATTATCATTAGTAGTAGTAGTAGTAGTAGTAGTAGCCTTTATTTAGACAGGGAGGTTCCATTGACATACAACATCTCTTCTTCCAAAGAGTCCTGGTTAAGACAGTGGCACAATCAGCCAGATCAGTTTCACTTTAAGAACTATAGTAAACACCTGCATTACATAAAAGCAACACTAGGGAAAATAGTGAGAGATGACGGGTATACAGGCCATACCAGTGGCATCCAAACACATTCCACCTGGGTCAGGGACTATATAAAGCAGCAACATGTGTCCTTCAGGGCAGTTTTTTTAAGACATTTAAGGAAGGGAGCGCTTCTAAGGTGACAACATTTTTGGAACTTAGTGCATTGCCAGGGTGCATAAGAAGAGAAAGCAGTTTTACCAAGCTCCGAGCACACCCTGGGGAGATTTAAAAGAAGCTTTTGTGTAGAAATAATAATAATATGTGTTTGTCATGTTAAGAACGATCCACATGGCTGCTATAAAAAAGGCCACAGTATTCATTGTTGTCCCCTCCCACTGCACCTCCTAATTCTCCCACATATATGAAGCCCTTACACCACAACCACACAGATGTGTTATGATTAATTAATCCTGGATGCCACTGAAGTTTTCCATTCCTGTCCAATGTCCATGCTGGCTCCTCTCATAAGGCCCTCCTCATGTCCTCTCTAAGCAGGGCATACTACACAGCAGTTTTAAGGTGACACCACACCTATTTAAATATGCCATATCCTCCTGAGACCCGAGCCTTTGTTTAATATGCATTTTTAATCTCTCCTAGCTATTTGGGGGATCAGTTGGACCCCATTAGTATAAAAAAACTACACATTGTCAACGATAATTAGGTTCCAGTGTCCTCAAACAAGTACTTCCTAATTAACAGGGTCTTAGCTTGTTACTGTTGCTAAAATTGGTCAAATTTGTTGCCATATCAAACTACAAACATTATTTATCATTAAAAAAACAAGTTCCAACCATAAAATGTGATCAGGTTTTGGACCTTGACCACTTTTGTGTGGGGATCGGCTGCAGATTGACTTGGCAGAGATGGCTGCCATCTTGTTTTTACATGGATTAGTGTATTGTGGTGTCACTACCACTTGATGGCACAAAAAAAGTGTCCCTGAACAAGGACAACATGTCTAAGTTGAGTAGAATGAAGTATAAGGTAAAGTTAACCCAAAATTTGATCAGGGTCTCAGGAGGTTAATGGACAATTAACTTCTAACTTCAAGCAGCAGCCACACTTTGTCCTGTTTTTTTTTTTTTTTTTTTTTTTTTTTTGTGTAGTTATTATTATTATTATTGTTATTGTTATTATTATTATTATTATTATCATAGTCTTACGTTTCTGTTTGTCACTGCCTTCTATAAAATAAAATAAAATAAAATAAAATAATATAGTGATAAAAATAATAAAATAAATCAATAAGAATAAATATAATACATTGAATTAATTTGTGGTTATTTGTTCATAAATTTCATTGTATCTTCATTTTCTTCTATATTTAATCCCTCTGTTTTGTTTTATTTTGTTAAATTTTACTGTACTGTTTCTTTTATATCATGTCTCAATGTCTTTAATAAAGCACTTTGAATTGCCTTGTTCAAAGGTGGTATACAAATTAACTTATATTGCCTCATTATTGTTGCTGATTAATGATTATTGTTTTATTACTATATAATTACACGGGCCATGAGGATGGACGGCGCCTTGGTGGCAGCACTTCCTGCACACACAGCCCTGCCCGCCTGCCTGCAGGATAACACGGCTCCTCTCCCTCCATCCATCCGTCCATCCATCAGTTGCATGTATCGTTAGCTCAGCAGCTAGCAGCTCACCAGGCCCAGCGGCCGGCCGGTGCATCCACAGCTTCCAGCCATGGCGTTGGTTACTCTGCAGCGGTCCCCGACCCCGAGCGCCGCATCCTCCGCCAGCACAGCAACCACGACCGCGGGGGAGGTGAGTTGGGTCCTGGGTGAACAAAAGCGATGCTCCGGTGCGGTGATGGTGGGAAGGCAGAGGATGGGGGAGATGTTGCCGGAGAAAGGCCCGCTGATTGAAGCTAAATTAGCACCGTTAGTTAACGTGTTATGCTAGCTAGGTTTTAAGCTAACGGTAGCTAGCTAACGTCTTCACTATTGATAACCACATACTGCTTGCCAGTATATGTGCCAATACGGCCGGTAGGTTTATCATTTTCAAATTCAGTTGAATTACAAAAAAATATCCTCATACCTGTTAAATTTCTTGTTAATTTAAAGAGCTGGCTGAGTTTGACAAGTGCCTTATGAATGATATAAGCTAACGTTAGCTGGTTATGATGAGACTGGCTGACATTGAAAGTAACGTATTTTTTCTTTAGCATTAATACAGCTGTATAACACAGCTTGTCTGGCATACCTTCAGCACCATAATAACAGGACACCCATCGCTGCCACGGTCCATACACTGCTTAATTCACACCAATTTACTTATATTAAATCTGAGATTTTAATTTTGTAGCCTGGTGGCTCGTTTGAGGTGTGTTATCTTTAGCAGACAGCAATGAGGGGACAGTCATTGAACTACACATAATATTCCTGTGTCAGTTTCCACTGTGCTGTCCTTTTTCTACCTCCTGTAAGAACAGGGAAGTGTGTGATTTCCAGTCTGGTAAGCAGTCATGTGGGGAAAAAATGCTAAACTTTAAGGTTTGCTTTGCTCCTCTATAGCTATAGAGAGTCACAGTTTTAAATGTTAGTTTTCTGGGCACTCAAAGTTGGAGAAAGAGACTGTCCTTGCCTCCAAACTATGATAATTCAAAGGTAACTCTTTTGCTACTTTCATGTTCAAATATGTTCCTGATCTTCACTGCCAGATGAGGGCGCTGTCCTCCTACTATAATCAGGAAAGCTCACCTTATTCTGCTCTGCATGACCAAACCAGAAGAAACAGACATGACATCTATAGCTGGGGTTATTTACAACCTTCAGTGTTTGAGCCAGAGATGACACCTCTGTTTTTTAAAGCATGTTCAAAACTGTGCAGTTGTCACACACAGTTGTTACTTATTGCAAACAGATTGCTCCTCATAAAGGAGTCAGTGTTGTTGGTTTCGTCCCTGCGCCTCAGTGACTTGCTGGAGCGGTTGCTTGGTGTGGTCCAGCAGCAGTGGTGAGGTGTGACAGATAAAGCTGGCAGGAAGCTGCTGCAGCTATGATGTCATCTACTCGTGAGGGGTGGGTGGGGTAGTGGAGTACTACTGAAGGAGAGTGAGGTAAACAGATTTAATAGACGCTGGCATGAGGCAGTTGATGCGTGAGATTATTTCACCTAATGCACACAATTATGGAAAGTTAGTCATGCAGTGTTATACGCTGCTCTTGCAGAACAATTTTCTTATATCTAATGGTACTCATTTTTCTGCATGCCATAGCATTTCTCTTTTTTCCTTGCTGAGTATATCTGTGCTTCTGCGGCTATAGACTTTCCCTGACAGTGGCAAGTGTCAGTTTACTGTTCCTAAATGAACCTGCTTTTGGTCAAAGCCACTCATGAAATTTAACACATAAACTGTGCCATGTTGTGGTTTTGAGTATATTTTATTAATCATGCAAAAAATCCAACACTTTTTAATATTTCACATATGTAGATTTTCTTAAAATTGATCAAAGGGGACTTGACAAGTCATAGAAAATCCTATCATGATTAGTCAGACATGGCTTAAAGTCTGTATCTGCTATATTTTCTGTGCTAAACCATCAGACAATGCAAACCTCTTGATATGCTCCTGCGTTCTCCATCCTCCCCCATCTTCCCTAACTCTTATTCTGGCAGTATGCCCTAAATTATATTAAATGTAGTGTGTTTTCTTCAGGCCACAAAACAGGTTTGTGACTTTGATAGCTGCAGTGTGTGCTGGCTGGTCAGCCGAACCTGTCAGAATCTTTACACAGCCTTGCTCATCAGCCTCCGTTATACCTTTGCCATGTAATTGCCTGTCATGTAATTTGCTGCGGACTGTGCCATCCTCTATGCAGCCATACCTACTAGTTTAAGTATGTACAATTGTCATGTTGAGGAGCTTTCAAGTCATGTCTGATCACCTTTGCATCTTGCAAGCCCCTCCAGGTGGTGTGGATGCTATTAAATGCATATAACACACACCTGCATTTGCAGTGATGTCACTGGTATTTGCTCGCAGCACCAAATTTGACAGCTGTGTGAGAACAGAAGACAGGATTGAATTTGATTGGAGTGTACTGCCAAATTTAGTTTGTTTGCTCCCTTTGATGCTCAAGTCAAACTTTACTCCTCTGTGCCTGAAATCCTGTGTAATAAAACATTTATGAGCCCATTTCCACTACAAAGAGCAGTTTGCGTCTCAGAGGGTGGAGAATAGCTGAACACATGAGGGTTTATAACGCTGTTATAACATATTTAATGACACCAGTGTCAGAATCTGCCATTAAAAGTATACCAACATTGCTATTTAGTCATCCCATTCATGCGTGAGCTTGTAGATTCAATTTATTAAAGCTTATGATTGGTAAAATATGGACAAGCCTGTAGCTTCTGTTGAAGCATCA